CAGTCCCACCGACACGCAAATTCACTACACATGGCACCGTAGGGCTGCCCCCGCCGACACGTAGATTCACTGCACGTGGCACCCTAGGGCCTCGTCGCTCCATCTCCCCATCGCCAAAAGTTTGCCACCTTGCGTACGCCTGAAGTCTGCTGAGCCTGCCGAGGGGGCTGTCCATGTGCTAAGGGGGACGCCCATGCCAAGGGGTGCCTTGCCAGGCGACCGCCATGCGATGAGGGTCTATCGTGTCGAGGGGCGGTACAGTCGCACAAGTTGCGCTATGCCAGGAGGTGGAGCACCGTGCCAAGAAAGGTGGCGCCGCCGAGGGGGCATAGTGTGCTGGGAGCAAATGGGGAGGGAGGGAGAGAGAGGAAGAGGATAAGACAGAGAGCCCAAGAGAGGGAGACGAAGAGGACAAGGTAAAGGAGAGGAAGAGCCTAAGAGGGACAAGCATTACAAAGAGTTGAGCCAAACCATAATGGAACTATACAAGGAGTCTAACTTCTTGCCTAAATGGATTTTTTTCTGGCCACATTTGGAATCTTGTTGTCAAAGATGGACATGTTTCACTATTTCCAAATGCACAAAGCAACAATAATATAAAGCTCCATGAAGAAAGGTTTCGAGTTTTCGCTTGTTGCAGCATAACAAATGGAGAGATATACTTGTATTGCATTGGAAGAAGAGATGAAAACAAATCTCTTCTAAGTCATCATTGCATAGGACACATTGATACTATGACTCTAGTGAAAGGTCCAGTGAGCGCAATCAAGAGAGGTGCTGAATTGGATGTCTAAAACAAACTTTAAAAGTCTAGAGCTTAAATTAAACTACCACTAGAAAAACCATAAACTAGTCCATCAAGATGTGCACTTAAGTTTTTTCTAATGTGTTCTAACTTACCCTTTAACTCACAAAGAGTTTTACAACCTAGAGTCAAACCTATTAACTTGCCTAAAGCTAATCTAGAAAGGTAAAGGCCACATAAGCAAAGTAGTGTTGAACCAATAAAAGCAGTAAGTAAAAAATCTAAGGGTAGAAAGGGCAAACTCCTGGAGATACGACGATATGTCACATGGTGTTGCTAAGTCGCTACCCTTACTCCACGTTGGAGCTTCATCGAGGTACGCTCCTGGCCAAAAAGTTTCTCCCAGTCACGGTATTGGATTTGCCACACAAGGCCTCTACCAACCAAAGGCTAGTGTGTGAGTCACACAGTCTCACCACTGCTACCCGGCTCTTCCCACCACCTATGATGTTGTGTCCACTACAAAGATTCTCCACACGAGGAACAAGGTCTGCTCATCCACTGGACACTGACTAGAGACCACTCCACACCAAGAACGGAAGGTGCCGCCTTGAAGGCCACCACGCCTTTACTAGAAGGTCACAAAGATCTCAAGCACTCCACACATCACCAAGATACAAGGGCAACACAACCCAATCACTCAAAGCTCTCAAGCTCTAAGGTTTAAACTCACAAGGATGCACTATATATAGTGTTTATCCTAGCCTTGGATGTGATCTTGAATGACTTGAGAGGGTGGATGAAGTCTAGAAATACTTGCTCTAACTTGTATCAGCCTTGGGCACTCCAACACACTGAAGCAAGTGAGGTAACCTCATGTAACCTCATGTCCTCATATATATAGCCTCATCCCCTCAACTACTCATTGTAAAAAGTTTCCAGAAAACTGTGAGCATCGGATAATCCGCTGCCTTCACTACATTCATCTCCAAATCATGTGGTGCTACTAGCCATAGCAATTTTCCTACCATTGGATTGTCTGGCACTGTCTTTCCTTCTTCCGTTAGATCGTCCGGTGCATATAATCTTCTCTAGCCACCTCTTTGATGCACACCGAACAATACTCCATTGTACGTGCACTTCCTATCACCGGTTCATCCGGTGCATGCCTTTGCATAGTGTCGCACAGTGGCCAAGTCCCTGGACATTGTCGGATGATCCATTGGTCTCCTGCCTTCACACTAGAACGTTTGGTAAGTGTTCCAGCCCATACTCCCGTGTGGAATACTCCCTAGCCCGCCTCTGTCTTCAGTTCTCCGTCAGTATGTTCTTCCTCTGGCCAGATTGTCTGGTCCATTGATCAATATATTACCTCTGTATTGAGTCTGGCCAGATACATCTAACTTTCCGGTGCATCTTCTACCGGTGATAAGAGAAAGTATCCACTGAGTGCATCTTCTACTTTTAAGGGAAGAAAGTAGAAATAGGATGGGGGGAGGAGAAAAAGAGATAAAAAAAGATAAGGACATCATAAGCATTTCAACCCTTTTATCTATACCATGACAAGCTATTTTACTAAACGTTCTTCTATTAAAAAAAAACTACTCTAACTGAGGAGCTAGAGCTAGATCAAACGTACCCCTTAGTCCTTTGCACGCATATGCATGGTTTATTAGTTGAAGCCAGTCCCAAGCAGTGGTCCAAATAAAAATGATTCAGATAGTTTCTTTGGCTCGTTCCATTACAATGTCCTCCCTTGGCTCCATATCTTCTCAGTAGATTGCACGAATGGTGTTAATCTGACCCCCGTATTTCCTTCACCATGGCAGAATAGTCTTAGTAAGTATTAATAAATATTATAGTGTATCTAAACACCTACTCCCTCTATCTTATTAAAATATTTGACCTTACAGCATTCAAATTTTGTCCTAAAATAGTTATCATTCTCACTTTCAAATGCATCTTTCTCTTCCCTTAATACATCTTTTTATTTTCCCAATACATCTCTCTCTACTTTTTTTAATTTTTTGAGAGGTATTTTGCTCTTTTGTCTTCTGCATTGTCTCCTGTATAGCGAATAGGCCCGAGCAGCCGTGCCCCTCCTGTGTACGTGACATGTCAAACTCCTGATGCGCGGTTGACCGGGTTAAGTCATTTCCCCACAGCAGTGGCGGGCATCCGTGGTATAAGATCGTCGTCATCTGTAGCCCGGCCGAACGCACATCGCAGTCAATGGAACGCTACGAGGAGACCAACAGGCCCACAAGTACTTGCTAGTAGTAGTATAAATAGAGGGCGCCTCCAGCCTCCCTGAAGCAGCGAGCCACAGCGAGACGCAAATTTCGATTCCTAGCAGAGCAGGAGCAGGACTCGCTGAAGGTAGCTAGTAGCTAGAGCCCACCGGCGGCGAGCTAACTGGTTAACTGCTCGGACGCTCGGTGTCTTCCCTTCGACAACTTCCATTCCATGGGCAGCGCTCCCGCCACGGTCCGCGAGATGAGGCGTGCCCAGCGCGCCGATGGGCCGGCAGCCGTGCTAGGCATCGGCACGGCGAACCCGCCGACGTGCTTGGCCCAGGACGAGTACCCCGACTACTACTTCCGCGTCACAAACAGCGAGCACCTCACCGACCTCAAGGGCAAGCTCACCAGGATATGTAACAAGTCGGGCATCAAGCAGCGCTTCATCCACCTGGACGAGGAGCTCCTCGCCGCGAACCCGGACTTCAAGGACCGCACGCTGCCGTCCCTGGACGCCCGTGTGGAGATCGCCTCCGCCGCCGTCCCGGAGCTGGCCGCGTCCGCGGCGGCCAAGGCCATCGCCGAGTGGGGCCGCCCAGCCACCGACATCACCCACCTCATCTTCAGCACCTACTCCGGCGCGCGCGCCCCGAGCGCCGACCGCCGCCTCGCGTCGCTGCTGGGCCTCAGCCCCACGGTCTCCCGCACCATACTCAACCTCCACGGCTGCTACGGCGGGGGCAGGTCGCTCCAGCTCGCCAAGGAGCTCGCGGAGAACAACCGTGGCGCGCGCGTCCTCGTGGCGTGCTCCGAGATCACGCTCATCGCCTTCTACGGGCCGGAAGGCGGCTGCCCCGACAACATCCTTGGCCAGGCTCTGTTCGGCGACGGCGCCGGTGCCGTCATCGTCGGCGCCGACCCCGTCAGCCCCGTGGAGCGCCCGCTGTTCGAGATGGCCTTCGCCTCGCAGACCACGATACCGGAAACCGAGGATGCCATCTCCATGCAGATCAACAAGGGCGGCATGGAGTACCACATCTCCAACCAGGTTCCCCGGTTGCTGGGATGCAACGTCGAACGCTGCCTGGTCGATGCGTTTGGCGCGCTTGGCATCCATAATGCCAATTGGAACAACCTCTTCTGGGCGATCCATCCTGGCGGCCGTGCCATCCTGGACCACATCGAGGGAGTGCTCGGACTGGACGACGGCAAGCTGGCGGCCAGTCGCCATGTGCTCAGCGAGTTCGGCAACATGAGTGGCACAACGGTGATCTTCGTGCTCGATGAGCTGCGCCGCCGTCTGGGTCAGGCGGCCAACCAGGAGGAAGGCCAAGCGCCGGAGTGGGGAGTCATGATGGCGTTTGGACCGGGAATCACCATCGAGACCATGGTGCTGCATGCCCCTGCCGCGGAGGGAAATTAGAAATTCAAATTTAAATGCACTACAACCCGATGCGCAAAGGCATTACAAGTCATTAGATCATCCATAAATAAGACGGACCTAAAGTAATGGACCGTAGTAAGGTGGTGGAGTGCTAAATTAGTAGTCCCTTAATTATCAGCTTGATATGTATTGTTCTTTTATTGAATTTATTTAACAATAATGGGTCATGTGTTGGGTCTAGAACTTTATATGTGTGTTATGTTTTTTTATTCATTTGCTTAAATAACAGTTTATAGTGTAATGTTCCTTATTTCATCATGAATAATAAACATAATGGAGTCCATATAATTAGGAATGAATGGAGTACAAGGTTAGCCAGTGCCTAGCCAATACCACTGCCAAGGCCCAAGAGAAGCAAACACTCTTGGTGTCACAGCAATACAGCATGTACTACAGGAATATGGCTAAGCACAGAAAATAGATATGATCGGAGCTGTCATACAACCCTGATGTATCCAGTACACAACACTACAATAGAGTGGACACTACTACATTCATAGTATGGACAGCATGCACATAAACATATAAGGTGTATGGCTTTATGGTTCTAGCACGAATTCCATCGACCAAGTCAGAGCGATTTGTATTTTTCGATAAGATTTGATGCGTGCAAGCGAGAAGTCGGAGTTATGGTGCACCCCAGGTTTCGAAGGTATGATATCTGGAGGACAAACAGGGACGAATTCTGTTTAGTATTCTGATAGAGAGCAACATGGGCTTCAAAAACAACAGGCAGAATCATAAAGAGCACAGATGCACAGCAATGCAATTCCGACAAACTAACAGGCTGATGCAACGAGATGAACAAGGAGTTCTGAGATAGCTGACCTGCTTGGCTGTGGGTCCTGACGAACCCATAGAGTTCTCAATCCTCTGCTTTTGGAAATGTTCCTGAAATAAAACCACAAAAAGATCACAAAAGGGTCTACCGAAGGACAGATAAATAGCTCCATTTTCTATAGTGCAAGATATTTGTAATGGCCCAAGATCTCACCTGCCTTTCTCTCGTCAAATGGCTCCGCTTCTCTATTGGAATCTGTTCCCACTTGATAACCTGAAGTTCACATTATTGAGTTATTATTTTATTTAGTAAGGAAAACTAACAAGATTGTCAGGTGTGATACCGAGAAATATAACAACAATAATTAAACTCACATATTGTGCGTAGCCCAATGCTTCATCACCGCTTAGGAACGACTTCAGCTTTCGCAAGACATCCTAGATAAGAAACTTGCCATCAGTTTTTTCCAGGTTAAGCTCTCGAATACAAGAGAACTTTTGTCATTGTTCCTTCGCCCTTTCAAAGTACAGATGATGACAAATAACATTGCCAGCGAGATAACGACAAACAACCATGAAGAACAGATATAAACTGATAGGAGAATCAATAAGTCCGGTGATGCTTTGATATGGGAAAGAGGAAAAGGGGTCACCTTGCGCTTGTATCCTTTACCACGTAGGCGTTCGTCAATCACAAAACTGATCTGAAAATTCAAGCATACATGTAACGTGAAATAGGCATAGAAGGGCACTGGCAATCCCAAAGTTTTAGTGGTAAATGTCACAAACGCGTGGTCACTGCGATAGTGGAAGGCATCAGAGTATCCTAGCCTGGTGGTATCCAGATTCCAGAGTGTTCAGTGTTCACGAACTGTGAAGAATTCAGTACCTTTTCAAGTAATCTCTTTGGATTTTGAAATGCCTGCTTCTTGCCCCAATGATGAAATATATGTGAGACTACCGATCTATCATCAATGTCGAACCTATAAAATGCATAAGGAATCGAGTTAAGCGAGAGGGAAAAATGTAAACCAAATAACATAGCAAAGCAAAGCTTTGCATGAATATGATGAATCTGTTCTTCAGAAACTGAAATGATTATGCAAAGGAGAAATAATGTTTTTTCACCACTAGAAAACTCCAAATATCCACAAGAAGCAAAGTTAAAAATGAAACATCAGATCATACAAAGATGATTTACTTTCTCAAGAAATCATTAGCAGGGCATCCTTGAGCCAGTTCTGGATAAGGTGAAGCTTTGTTCTGTCCCATAATTGGCTTTCCAACTGATATATTCCCTTCAGAGTCATCAAAAGGATCACCTGAAGGCTGTTCAGGCATTTTTCTCAGAGTCTCTTCGCCATACAAGTTAACACAAACAAAACAATTGTGAAGAAGAATTATGTACATACAAGATACTACATAAGAGTATGCCTGCTGATGAAAGAAATAAGCAAATTGGCTCATATTGGGAAATCTTAATAGTAGGGAATTGAGGCAATTTGAATTCAGAAAAGTCTAGGGACGCAAAGGCCAAGCCAACCCATTGACTCCTGGCAACTTCAACGACGAGGCGCCTGCGCTTCGTTCCGAGCATACGTTCTGCTCAAACCCCGCTGTGAGTAACGCACATACTGTTATTTACTCGCTATTTACTATCTTCCGCCAATTACCCAGAGGGACCCCGTTGTCTGCGTCGCCACCGTCGTGCGACCGGTTCCCCTACGGCCTCGCGTCCCCCGCGGACGCGTACGCCTGGGGGCTCCGATGGATGCTGGCGCCGCCCCCTCTCGTATCCGAATTCGTGGGAATGGAGAGCTATGCTCCCACCACTTTCCACGAGCTCTTGGATGACGAGGTTGAAAGCGATGGCTCCAGCATCGGCGACGTAGCACCTAGCCACCGTCCGTCCCAGGAGTGCGCTATGGCGGACACTTCGGGACAGCCGCCGGTGGTAGCGGAGTTCTTGCAGACTCACACCTCTCCGGACCCTCGTGCGGGGGCCCTCGCGCTCGCACAAGAGCATGGCGAGGAGCTACGACAACGGTGGCAGAACCAGCCGCCACCTGCGCCGGCGCGGTCGGTGCAGCACGCTGCGCCCCGTGCACGTAACCCGGCGAGCGGCGCCCGAGGCCGCGCCCGCCAGGTTCAGCGCAACATCATCGACGGGGGGAACCACCCCCCACTGTTCGCTCGGGCTGGCCAGAACATCGCCGTGGCGGCGATGCTTCTGTGCGGCGTTCCCGAGCCTATCGACCCCTAGGAGCGGGCGGTCCACCGGAACCTCCGGGCGTTGGTGGAGACCGCCGCCATTCAACAGGCGGAAAACTCCGCATCGCGACACTGACTCACGTCCTCTCTCCCCACCAGGGGAGTGGGGACGCACCAGATGAATCGTTCCATCCGCTCGCCGCTGTAGCCGCCTAGGGCGGCACAGGAGGCCATAGCTGCACCACGGCCTGACCTGGCGCCCGCTCCACACCGAACCCCTGTGCACGAATGGCTCGGACCGAACCAAGACGCTCGCAGCTTCATCAGCAGCAGGCGTTGGGCCCGGCATGATGATGATGTCCATCGAGCGGAAGTGAGGGCAGGCGACACGGACCCCGGCCGGACCATCGGGGGGAGCGGTGAAACGCACCCCAGGCTTGGTCGCCGGCCAAACGACTGGAGTCCCAGCCCAGGTGGCCCAGGTCCACGAGCCTTTGGCCGACACATCCAGAGAGCGCCATTCCCACAGCGCTTCCGACCGCCGACCAACATCACCAAATATATCGGGGTGACGAACCCCGGTATATGGCTTAAAGACTTCTGGCTCGCCTGCCGAGCCGGTGGAGTGGATGATGACTACTTCATCATTCAGTACCTCACCACCAGCGTGGGGGAACATGTTCGAGCGTGGCTCGAATTCCTCCCGTCCGATAGCATCCACGACTGGGTGGACCTCAAGAGGATCTTCGTCGGGAATTTCTAGGGGACGTATGTCCACCCTGGGAACTCCTGGGACCTCAAGAGCTGCCAGCAGGAGCCCAACGAGTCCCTACGAGACTACATCCATAGGTTCTCGAAGCGGTGCAACTCCCTTCCTGATGTCATCAACGCAGACGTCATCAGCGCATTCCTCTCCAGGACAACCTACGAGTCCCTGATCCACAAGCTTAGCTGCCTGAAGCCCCGTACCACCCGTGACCTGCTCGATGTCGCCACGAACGACGCCTCTGGCGAGGAGGCGATCGGAGCGGTCTTTAACGAGGGCCAGGACAAGGGCAAGGCCAAGCGTGAGGATCAGGACGAGGGCCCCTCCACGCAGAGGGGCAAAAAGAACAAGAAGGATCGTCGCCGATCGGCCGACTCCACGTTGGTCACCGCGGTCGATCGTACGGGCAAGCAGCCCTAGTAGGGCTTGCCTGACCACTTCGACGAGCTCATGGAGAGCCCGTGCACCAACCACGCCTACCCCGTCAAGCACCTCTACAAGGACTGCGAACTCCTCAAAAACTTTCTGCGACAGGCCGACGGGCCGAAGGAAGGAAAGGGCAAGGAGACAGCAGCCAAGAAAGAGGGCGTGGCGGGCAAGGATCCGGATGACTAAAGGTCCCTATACGGCGACCGAGGTGAGCCGACCGGGCGCCTACCGACTTAAGGACGACAACGGCGACGTTCTCACCAACACTTGGAACATCGAACAGTTACGTCGTTTCTTCCCCTAAAATTCAGTCTTTACCATTTTTTCATTCAACATTCACTCCTGCAAAGCACCCCGGCCTGAACACTTTCGGCACGAGTCGCTCGGGAGCTCCATGAGGGTGCAATACCACCTCTCTGTTTTACTATCTTATGGCAAATACCTTCTTCACCCAAACGAAAGGGTAGTCCGTTCCTCTAATTACATTATGTAACTTTGCTTTAAATATTTCGACCGACCGCACCCCGTCTCTACCTATGGTTACAAGTAGCTGAGCCTCGTGGGCCACGCCTGGGTTCTTAAGGTTGCAGCCTACGGGACGAATGGGCAGGTGCGAAAAAGAAAGAATAAGAAACAAAATTATGCTAAGGTAAAAATGAGGAACGGATGGGACAAGCTTTCTCGAACGAAGTGATTCCATCACAAAAATGAAACTAATTGTATTCATTAAATACACAAAACGTTTACACAGGGGGCTCCCCCATGACATTATCTTTTACATTTGCTAATGATTTCTACTCTAAACTTCTACTTTGGCTCCCAGGTGGCATCGGCTACCAGCTCGACCGGCAAAGGTAGGGCCTGCTCGCTCTCCGGCTGGACGACTGAAAGGGTCGAGATGGTGGACTAGAGGGGGGGTGAATAGTCTTTTCTAAAATTAATCGCGTCGGCTAACCGATATAAATGCGGAATTAAAACAATCGGTCTAGCCAAGACTACACCCCTCTATATATGCTCACTAGCACCTTGTAAAGATACTAATTATGCAACTAAGGTGCCGGGCTAGCTAGAGCTCTCCTAAACAATTCTAGGAGCAAGGTCACACAAACATATGCCACTAGTACTTTAAGCAACAAGGGAGCTCCTACACATGCTAGTAAGCAAAAGCACAAAGCCAACTAAGCTCACTAGCAAAGCTCAATAACAAGGCAACCAATGCCTAATTAGAGAGCGCAAATACTTAGCTACACAAACTAAGCAATGTGACTAACAAGGTTACTAAAACCAAATTAGCCACGCAAGGGAGCTACTTCTATGCTACACAAGCAAGAAGGTAACTAGTAAGCTACACAAGCTAACTAATTACAAGAGCAACTACACAAGCTTAAGATATATAAAAGTAATTGCAAGCTTGTGTAATGGGGATGCAAACCAACGGGAAGAACAAGGTTGACACGATGATTTTTCTCCCGAGGTTCACGTGTTTGCCAACACGCTAGTCCCCGTTGTGTCGACCGCTCACTTGGTGGTTCGGCGGCTAATTAGCATCACCCGCTAAGCCCGCACGTCGGGCACCGCAAGAACCTACCCCTTGAGTGAGGGTAGCTCAATGACATGCTTTACTAAAGTTGCTCTTCGCGACTCCCGCGGGGCGAGCACAAGTACCCCTCACAAGCACTTCTCCGGAGCACCGCACAAGCTTCTTGCGGGCTTCGACGGAGATCACCACCAAGCCATCTAGGAGGTGGCAACCTCCAAGAGTAACAAGCACCACCGGCTCGCAACTCGATCACCTAGTGCCACTCGATGCAACCTCACGATGCAATCGCACTAGAATCGCTCACTCACACAATCGGATGATCGCTATCAAGTATGTGTGTGATGGAGGGCTCCCAAGCACTCACAAGCATGGACACTAAGTCCCTTGAGGTGCTCAGCACCAGCCATGGCCGAGGGCCACTTCTATTTATAGCCCCAAGGGCTAAACTAGCCGTTACCCCTTCACTGGGCAACGGTCGGGCCGACCGGACGCTCCGATCGTGTTGACCGGACGCTGGACCTCAGCGTCCGGTCGCCCGTAGACGGCCACGTGTCCCGGTTCCAACGGTCACTTGACTTGACTGGACACAGCAGCTTTCAACTGACCGGACGCTGAACCCCCAGCGTCCGGTCGTTTCCAGTAAGGTATCGACCTCGACCGGACGCGTCCGGTCACACTTGATCGGACGCAGCCAGCGTCCGGTCACACTCCAGCTTCTGTGTCATCGTACGTCAGCCTGACCGGACGCAGCCTGCCAGCGTCCTGTGCATTCAGATCCAGCGTCCGGTCAGTTGACCGACGCCAGCATCTTCGCGACTAACTCGTTTTCACTTCTAACTTCATCACCCTTGCTCCAATGTGCTAACCACAAGAACTTACATCCGGCGCAATAGAAAATAGGCATTCTATTTTCCCGAAAGCGCCGAATCTCACCCCTGCAAACACCACCTCCTTTGTAAATGTGCCAACACCACCAAGTGTACATCACCATGTGTATGTGTGTTAGCATTTTCACAATCATTTCCCAAAGGATGTTAGCCACTCAACTTGCCACGCCACTCGATCCTAGCGACAATGCAAAGTTAGATCACTCGAGTGGCACTAGATGACCGATATGCAAACAAGTTTGCCCCTCTTGATAGTATGGCCATCTATCCTAAACCCGGTCATAAACTTCTCTACACACCTATGACCGGTGAAATGAAATGCCCTAGGTTATACCTTTGCCTTGCGCATTCCATTCCATCTCCTTCAATGTCGATGCAACACATGCACCAACACGATCAACAATGATATGATCCACTTCATATCATCACATGATCATATTGGTTCATCGATCTTGACTTCACTTGCCCTTCACCGTTGCCATCGTCCATCGGCGCCAAGTCTTGCTCA